AACAACAATATTTTTCTCAGGAGTTGGTGGAGACCAAAACAGAGCTAAAGGGCAGTGACTATTGGACTAGCATTTATATAGCAATTTGTTTCTTAGCTTTTCTGGCCAAAAATCAAGAGACACGAAGACAGCGATTTGCTGGCTATATTTTTACAGAGTCCGGACCCCAGACCCTTCACATTGCCCAAAGCTTGATGCCCCGAAACGTCCAGAACACAACAAAGTAAGAATGTAGAGGCAGGTCTCTGCAGATACAGACACTGCCACACGTATGGGTCATAAGTGATGATTGAGAGGGATTATGTTTTTATGAGTCTATGCATTGTTTTGTTTTTTTCAGAAAATCCTACTACTGCCTTTAAGTGAGAAAATGCTTTTTATTATGATTTTGGAGAAGGACACCCTCAAAAGATGATTGTGTTGGGGGAAGAGTGACAGAGAGAGTCTGGCTCATCAACATCCTAAACAAGGGTGAAATTGAATGACAAATTTAGAGGCGGAGGGTGGAAATAGGATAAGCTCACACACACACACAAACACTTTCCTTGGTGGTGTCAATGGAGGATTTTCATCATATGACAGCTGAGTGGAGAATGGCAGAGAGATGAAGCCAATCTCCCACCCTCAAATCATAATTTAATCATTAGTTATTAGTTTCCAACAGTTTCCTCAGCACAGACAACAGATGCTCCTCCTTCTCTCGCACAGATTAACAATACAGTGGGGGATAATTATTGGGAAATATATGTCACACCCACTTGGCAAGGACTGATTTCACTGACATTGAGCTCCTATTTTTACCAAAGCAGTCTTGTTGCTTCAGTTTATTGTCAATGCTACATACAGTACTCGGTGAACAACTCTTAAACATGAGCTGAAACTTGCTGAGTAACAGTGCGATGTGCATTACCACAGTATATATAACAATAGTAAACGACATGCAAGCTTTCTGTAAAAGAAATGAAAAGAGAGAAGTGTAAAGAGTGAAGTGGAACTTACTTTGACACCATCTGGTTTTTTGTTCAGCAGGCTCTTGGCTGCTGTTGAGAGAAAAGATAACAATGCAAGGAAATCAACAGGCAGCTGGAATTAACACACACACACACACACACACACACTCATGCACTACGTCTATCCAAGGCTGGACAATTACTAGCGACCTCAAAGTGGGCCTAGCTAGAATTGGAAGCAGAAGAGAAAAATGCAAATTAAGTCAGGAGATGAAATAAAACTTAGTGAATCATTAGACAGGAACATGCAATTAGATCTGACAAGACTACAGGAGACACTGTCAGCAGTGGCGGGCAGTGTCCACTGGGCTGAGTTCTTTAGTTTTCCTTTTTTTTCTGCCCACTTTCACTCAAACACGTGCCTATTTTAGCTCAAACACCTTTGATTTGTAAGAAGGAGGGAGCTAAAATCACATGAGTGGGGATTGTGTCTTCAGGTTAGGGTGGCAGACAACCTGCTTTTCAGTAAGCATGCAAAGACAGTCTGAGACACCAACAGATGATTGGTAGTGGCAGGAAGAGCAGCATGGGGGGTTTGGGGGGGTTTTGTGCATCGTTTAAGACAGTGAGGGGTTTGTTGGCAGGAGTGATTGGTCAAATCATAGACATGTGCATGTTTAGTAACTGATATAGGCTTTGCAGTGACAGCAAGTATCTTTAAGCAGCCATATTGGAGGAACATTTGAGGCCATTTTTAAACAAAACTATTTATAAATATTATTACGTTATTCTAAACATATGATAAAGTATTATGTTGTAATTTGTAATAGCTATAGATTTTTGTAGGTCAATCCATAAGTTAGCATCGTCCTGGTTCCTTCAACCAAAGGCCAATGGGATTTTAACATTGCATGACTTCAACCTCACCACTGCTAAACTTACAAGTTTAATTGAGTTAGAATAGTGTGTAAGAGCACGAATATAAACACAACGAGGCTGTAAAGGCGGACTAGTGAGTAGACAAGTCTCAGTGTTTAATGTAACCAACAACCTCTGTAGTCTCATTTAGACACTGATTAGCAATCGCCTTTTTTAAGACACGTAAAATCGTCAGAATTCACAGGGGGGTATTTACTGACAGATTGTCGTAGAACAAAACATGAAGATCTATTATGCATGTGTTAACCAACCAAAAATTCATTCAAAAAACCCAGTGACTTCGAGGCGAGGTAACCAAGGTGCAAAAATGCTAACTCATTTCCAGATTTTCTGACTTGTTCTGGCAGCACTCGATTCTAATATCCTATCAGTTGAACTATTACTAGTTGTAAATCTCTAGCCTATATTAGGAAAATTTGATTAGGACAGGATTTACTGACAGCGTACTGTGGCAATAGTGGCCAACAAGCACACTCTATTTACGTCCTACTGAGTACTATGGCTGTCCGATACAACAATATATATTGTGTGGAGATAGAAAAAAGGAACGTTTTATATCACGCTCTATTGTTTATTGTGTTGTGGCAATATTTTTTTGAAGGACGGATCCAGGCAGGAAATTTAAAAGAAGGAAACAAACAAAAATGGAGGAACGCTAACGAGAGACAGAACTGTGTAATTCTGAACAGTAGGACTCCGACCAGGCAAGACAAAAAGAGGAGCTCGTTCTTAAAAGAGGGACTACTTCCTCTGAACTTACTTTATACTGATGCAACTGCAGTTGAAAGTACCTTTCTATATTTTATATTTTGTCACATGCTTAATTGGAAATGTGCACAAAGGTTCTAAATAAAATAATAAAAAAAAATCAAATATGTGTTGAGTATATGAATCAAAATGTAATAAGACACAGGCGGTTCCATGTGGTAATTTTATATTAATTATTTATTGAATTCACAGAAAATGCGCTATATCGTGATGTGTATCGTTATCTGGATATGATATTACTTATATTAGGATGTGAGATTTTGGTCACATCGTCGTACTCTGTATGCTTTAAGAGGAACTTCTGATCATTTGCAGAAAGGAGTGTGATTTTGGAAGATATTATATTTTATTTTCCTCCAATATGGCCACTAATGGATGCACTGTGTCAGCTGAAAGCCCTATACTGGTGCTTTAGTAGACATTACATGCCCTCAGTACCAAACCTGGCAGTGTAGTTTGACACTGTAAAGGAGTGCCGACTACACAGAGAACTCCTTACCTTACACGAGTTACCACACAAGAGGGGGAAGGAAGAAAAACAAAAGTAAACACTAAGGCCATGATTATACTCTGAACACGGCCGACCGACAGTTCAGAATTTACAAAAAATAAGATGAATAAAACAAACATAAGCTTGGCTGTCATTAGTCATAAAGAACAACAATCAATAATGTTAGACTCAGGTTGAGTGTTTTGCCCTTTAAAAGGGACGTGAAGATGGCACTGCATCGATCTGCACGGTCATTCAGTCTCTGTTGATGGCAACTGAAACGGGAGGACAGACGGAGCTTATTGGGCTCTAAAGGCCAGCAAATCTGAAAAACAGCAGCGCTCAAAAGAGCAGCAGCTTAAACAATACCTAAATACATAATAAAGACAGAGTTAAAGGGGTGTCATCAGTAATGGCGTTTCTGTCTATAAGGACCAATAAAATGTGAGCATTAGCTGCCTGTCAGTCTTTTCTGGTTTACAGTCCTACCTGAGAAGTTGCGAGTGGCAAGCATAGTAGTCAGGATAGCACCCTAGGGAGAGAGAAATGGAGACTGAGGAACAAACTCCAATATTTACACAGGCTGAAAGGTTAATGATTATATATTTTGGTGCCTGTGGCTGGATTTGGCTGATTTTTTTTAGCATTTATCATATTTAAAGCCAAGTGTTTTCAAGAAAAAAAGACCAAATCTATTAAGTTTCTCATCAGAATTGAATGCAGCGACGGAACAACAGGTCTCCTGAGGGATCTTGTATAGTAGCTCATAGTGTTGCTCACCTTGAGTTTCCTTCTGGCGTTGAATTTCTTCAGGCACTCCACAGTCTCCTGTCTGTGCATCATGGATGCCACAGTGGAGCGTTGCTGTAAACACACAGAGACAGTGTGTGGCGTTAGAAGGTGTGTTTTTTTGGTACAAGACCTGCTTTGATTGCATTTACAGATAACTGAAAGAATGGATGTGAAAGTGTGTGTGTGACACTTACGCAGATCCAGGGGTGTTTGAGTGCATCTGTGGCGGTCACTCTCTTGGCTGGATTAATGGTCAGCATCTTGTTGATCAGGTCTTTAGCCTCTGGAGTCACTGTGTCCCACTCAGGAGATGGGAACTGTTCCAGGAATGAAATCACAGAAAGTATTTACAGTGTCCTGTCAACCATCTGCAGTGTTACAATGCACCTCCTGTACAGACACAAGTAAGTTCAGGTAATTCCCTACACATAATATTTTGAGGTACTGGGGCTACTGCTGGGTATTAACCTCTATAATTTTATAATATCTGCTCATTTTAGGCTTAGGATATTTTATGTTTCTAAATGTTCTAGATTCAGACTGTATTTTATTATTAAGTGTATGTGCACTGGTGGCTTCAAGTTCCTACATCACATTTATATAAGTTGCATACTGGACCAGGACTTTTCTAAATTTAGACTGTATTTTAATAAGGCAAAATTCTTGAATTAAGTCAGATGCATTGTGTAGTTTGGTTACATAAAAAAACCCAACCTATTTACAGTCCCCAAATTGAGGGAGTGTGGAGTTTTCTTCCAAAACAAGGTTATTAGTCAATGCATGGATCCTTGAAGCGTTACAAAAGTGCATCTCCCTCTCCATTAAACATTTGCAAAGTAGTTTTTTCTTTTTGAAAAATGTACAACCTGCATTGTTTACATCCATGTTTGCTATCCTGCCTTTTAGTAGCATCTTGCTACTTTTCTTGCAGGAAATGTGTATCACATCAGCTGTGTGCTCAGGTATATGTACAACCTTTTGCCTGACCATGAATAAACAAAATGGGGACCCACTCAACAAAACAATCCGCCTTAGCACTACTAGTGGTCAAAAACGTCACAGAGTACCCTTTAAGACCTTTAAGTGGCCCAGCCCATAAATCTGATATATGACAAAATACATTTATAGAAGTATCTAACGAGTGAACCATCTGCGGAAGCGTCCTTCCCATCTCTGCTGAGAGCACAGGACCAATCGGGTAGGATGGTTACGAATGTATCCTGTCTAATATCTTTCACAAACCGACATTTTCTCATGTGAGTTCCGACCCCGCTTAGTAGCTCTGAAAAAACATCAGTGTAACCCTGCCTGCACTGACAAGACATTACTACCATCTCCAAACACCAAACCAATGTGTTTAATTTGCAATGAGCGTGTTATGGTAGTTAAAGAATATACAATTCAGGTTGAAAAACGCTGTTAGAAGAACTTAAAAAGCTGATTGTCCAGCAACAGAACTGAAACTGACCAACTATACATACATATTTGACTTTTATAAATGTGTGTGTAAAATGAGTTGCTAATCCCCAATGTTTTAAATCATTTTCATTAATTAAAAATAACACAAGACTACATAAATGAAATGTACAACCATCCTCTTGCCTTCAAGTTCCATCATCTAACATTTCCTAGAGTGGACGAAGCTGGTATATCAGCAGCATTCACCCTTTAATTTGATTTAACAGTATATCTGACCATATTCCAGCCATGTCCCTCTCCTTTTCCCTCCCACACTCATCTGGCTGCTTGTGCAGTGGAGAACAGACAGCAGATACTGTTTACAGAGTTACAGCCTGTCTGCTGCGGTTTGCCAAGAGTTATTGAGACCATCAGACAAATAAGGGTAAATGTGCTTACATTTGGGTAAAGAAACAGTGACACTGTTCTTTTAGCTGCAGAATATGTATCCGAGTGCTACAGTTGGGCCACTTTAAGTTGTACTGTTTTAAGAAAAAGTCTCAATGATATGTGAATAAAGTTGTCATTTGAATATAGTGAGAGTTCAACTTTGTCTCATTAACTTGTATTCAATAATATGTCCAAAAATACCCAAGTAAACATTGTGTGTGTGTGTGTGTGTGTGTGTGTGTGTGTCACTATAAAACTCACATCATAAGCCCCAGCTTTAATCTGCTGGTAGAGTCTGTGCTGGTCCTCATCCCAGAATGGAGGATATCCCACCAGGAGGATGTAGAGGATCACACCTACACACACAAACGCACGCACACGCACACAAAAGGGTCACAGTTAATCATGACAGCACTCTATAAAACAATGTTAATTACTCAATTATCAAATCTATGAGGTGAGAATTTAAGAAATATAGCGACATCCACACACATTATAAGGTGTCTAAATAAAGAACAGTGTGGTAACAGACACACACTCGTGCTTGTGTTTGCTGGTGGTACTGGATAAGGTGGTTTTTGATTGGTTGGCCAGTCGCCAGGAAAAAGATGAAAGGCCCCTCTATCTGACAGCGAGACAGCCTGACCACAAACATAACACCGCCTATTGTTTCTGTGGACTCGGTGAGTCAGCACAGGTGTGTGGAGAGCAGCACGTGTGTGTGTGTGTGTGTGTTTTAGACAGTGTGTGTGAGTGTTTGACATCTCAGGCCCAGGTGGCCTGGCCCATCAGAAGGGTGTGTAATGAGCGTCAGCGCTGATTAATTCAAGAGGTTAGAACCCTCCGTACTCCTCTGCGGTACATACACTACAGAGTACCACACACTTTCGCACTCAGCAGAGAGGAGCAAATGAAGCCAGAGTAAACCAAAATACTGATTTATACTTCATCAGTACTGTTTGTTTACATTTAATTTACCCTGTCCCAATCATCTTTAGTATTTTACTGCTTCAGTGCAGGACACCAATTGGCAAGAATCTGCAATACGTATCCTAATACAGACGTTATATATAATATAACTATATGAGAAAAACCTATAAAGACAGGAATGTAAAGATATATCATGAGACAAATATTCAAATCGTTGAGATGAAAAATGAACTGTGGTATCAGTCGTGCGTCAAGGCTCAAAGACTTCTGTTTCACTTTTACAAAGAAATAAAAAAAGGGTTCTATAATTTGATAAAGAAAATATATTTTGTAGATTTTTTTTTAGCTTTAATTTGTCTTCAATCTCATTTTGTAAAAGAATGCTGGTGAGAACATTTTAAGGTGAATCCAGTATCGAATTGAATCATATCGAAACATCCCTATATAAAAAACACACCATGTGCCTCAGTTTAGGTTTGCAACACTACCACCTAGTTTTTGGGGGTTTTAACTCAAAAATCGATACAGTGATTTTGAGAATCAATGCAATATCACAAAACAAAATATCACAATATGACTTTTTTCTATACTTTCTTACCCCTATTACCAAACTATTGGAAAAGTAATGTGTGTAAACAATTTGGATTTGACACTTTGCATTTGTAAAATGCAATTGACTAACAGTAACATCACCATGACAACAACCTCATAATCAAACAAATCAGATCATAGGAAACCATCAAAGACAAGCCGTTCTTGTTTTCCAAATGTGGAGGTTTTTAGGTGTCAAAACACTTTACTGCAGTAAAGGTGTAAACAGTAAACTGAGCAGCTGTCTTATTTAGGAACAATAATTCAACCTGACCCAATATCAGCATGTATTCACAGTCAGGACCAATACAACTAACAAAATAACTGCACCAGTACCAGTGGCTCTGCCCTTGGTGTAGCGTGTTCTTTTGAAGTAGGGGCAGTCCCTTTGATAAGCACTGGGGAAAGGCCTGTGATTGGCTGTGATGTGCAACTAATGATAAGCAGCTGCTCCATGAGGCTTCCCCCAATTAAACAAATCAACAGTTGGATTAACCCAGAGTCTTACCACAGGCCCACATGTCCACCGGCTTGCCATAGGGGTCTTTCCTCAGCACCTCTGGGGACAGGTACCCTGGTGTCCCGGCAAAACCTGGAACACACACGCATACACATATAAACACACCATAGAGAACAACCCCTCTGTTTCAATTAAAGCTTTCACCAGGCCACACACATTTGGAATTTGTTTAGCCTGACCCTAAATTCACCACCTTCAGTATGTCGAAGTCTATCAAAAGCTTGTTAGGACCCTCTCCTAAAAGCAAAGCCTTTCACAGTAGCTAAGGATCAGTGGGCCCGTAAAGTTAAGTTTATGAGGCGAGACTAACAAGCTCTAAGGAAAATATCCCTTTGTGGGTATGTAGTTTGGCTCGTGACCAGCAGCGTGCAGCCTACTTTTAAAAAAGCCTCAAAGCACCGGCAGACCCTCTGGGCAATGAGACGTAGTATGAGTGGTAGTAAAGTCGGAGCACAGAGTGAACTGGTTCCAGATGGAGGCTGGAGCTTGGGGAATAGAGCAATTATTTCTGCGCTCTGCAGGGAATAGGCCTGAAATGTATCCAATCCAAACTTGATATAAGAGCCCAGAGCAGTGGCACACCTAGTCCCGTTAGGTAGGTAGATTGGGCTTTGATGATAAGATGGCATAGCTGAAGATTTGATTTTTGCCATTTAACGAAAACTAGGACAAAAAAATCTTCTTCTGTTTTATTCAGTCAGCTCAGTAAGACTTTGGCTGAGAAAAGCAGCTGAGAATAAACGCTACACTGTCATCTGAGCGAGAATTAAACACTTAGAGAGCAAAATCCTGGAGAGGATACAGGGACAAAGACAATTTTAAAGGGGTCTTGCTATGGGAAAATGTTCTATCATAAATAAATCATATATCTTAAAACCCGTTTTGATAGATTTGCCCTAATGTAATGCCGTCTTTTTAGTTTATTTCCTTTTTATGGCTTCTATTCTGCTCTTATTATTGTATTTGGGTATTCTATTTTTTTTTTTACATTTAATTACATTTTGTGTATCATGGCTATCAGTTTACTTTGTCATTTGTCATTAGTAATGAATAAACACTCTCATCTGTCAATTTATATACAGATATTTGTTGTCTGTTGAAAACCCAAATAACTGCTTATAGCACAATTGTTTTTCTCTATAAATACTGGCCTAGAGTATGAACAGTACAGACAACACACCAACTGATGGCATCTCTGAGTAGCCCAGCTAAGACATGCAGTGATATGCCATAAGCCTGTAAACAAAGGGGGAGTGAAAACAGAGCAACAGTCAGGGTTTCAAAAGCTTGTAGTACTGCTAGCCACTGCTGCCTCATATCAGTCACCATTTCTGAAGAACCTAGGAACATACAGACCCAACCTAACATCTATATCATGTCAGTAAAATTGATTGAAATCTATTCATTTAAAGCATTGAAAGTATGAATCCCCTGAAGGCATACTAAGAGAGACTACTTTCCATTTTAAATATTGATGTACCATTAGACCCACTGCATTATATCAGTAGTAATCCCTGATGGCGCTATGGAAAGCAAGGCTTACTTGCTGTGTATCCCCTAATTGGAAGCAAAAAAATATAACTGCCACCTACAAGGTGCTGTACTGACTTAGTGGTGAATTTGGCCAAAACCAACTTTTAATTCTTTTAAAGTATTTTGTTTGTTTCTTTATTTATTCATTCATTTTAGTTTTTTTGGAGAATCCTCTCTATGTGGAAGAACATAATAAAATGTGTTGTTGCTGAGCTGTGTTAATAGACAATTGACAAAGCAGCCATGTGTAATTCAAATAAGCACAATAAGTATAAAGAAGTCGTTCTTTTCTTTGTTAAAAAGAAAGAAAATATGAATCTCAAAATGAACACTGAATCACATAAGAAATTTAGGAAGTTGTGGACTCACCGAACCATGCCTGCTGGTCTCCCTGCACTTCAATGGCCAGGCCGAAATCTGCCAGTTTCACTGCTGCCCCCTTCAGCTTGCTGGCTAGGAGCAAATTCTCTGGCTTACGAGGGAAAAGACACAGATGCAAACTTTCAGTACCTTGCACTAAAGTGATATAATTTTAAAATGAACATAAACATGACTGACGTAAAGCCATAAAGATTTCCATGTGTTTTTGTTACGGGCAGCTCGCGGGCTTCAAAGCAGCAGGAAGGGTTATTATAGTTCACAGAGTAATAACATTAAGTACTGATGTCATACAGTGAGTTTGAGCGCTCGGCAGTTAGGACTAATAGCTGAGCTGCAGGCCGACTGTAGCAGCTGTCCAGTCTTACAGATAATACTGGAGGAAGGCTTGTCAGAGTCAGAGTCCGGCCTCTACACCCACAAAGTCCCCACTGACTCATGCTGAGCCCAGTTACATTCAGGTTCAGTCAGGGGCCACGGCTGACCTCAGCCCAGCAGCAGCACGGGTGGATGCCGCTCATCAAGATGCTGGCGGGCTGCAATCAAATTGGGCGAGCAAGAGTGGCTGGTGGTGACGGACCGGGTGAGAGAGGCGGACAGTGACTCATGCCAAACCCCAGCAGGAGGAGGAGGAGGAGGAGGGAGGGGGCGGGGCCTCTGAAAAGGTTCGGAGAGGATGAATAATGTATTTTGTGACATTTTCAAAGCGGTTTCCTTGATTGAGCCAAATAGGAAATTAGTCAAGATGATTGAGCTGTAATGTACAGTAATACCAACAAAACAGGAGGGTGCTGCTGATCAAAGGGAAGCTGCTTTTATTTTGCAACAATCAGACCCAGTTAACAGTCACCCTGGCTATATATGTTGCCGTACAAGCCATTATTCATTCTGAGCTTCTCATATACATTCATTCTACTATGGTTTCATTCTGATACTAGATCTATATTTATTATTATTTTACATATTTTTGTTACGTGAAAAGACAGCTTTACTACATTAGGTGCCTTGCTGAAAAAGTTTAGTCTTCATTAAACTCATGTGTTTAGGCTCAGGGACCTCATCAGGTCATTTTACACAGTGTGTAAACGAAGAGCCCATGTATGTATAGTAAAAGGATGACTGAATCTTTGCCAACTATCAAATGAGAACTAGACACTAAAAAGCCCCTTAAGGCATCCAAGTGTATCTATTTGGATCAGGTAATCTGGCTGCTTTTAGGCTACATTCACACAGCATGCCATAGCGCTCAATTCAGATTTATTGCTCAGATTTTTGTGGCCCATATCAGATTCCAGTGTGAACAGATGACAGTCCTGAAGTGACCCGCATGACGAATGTCAGTCTAGAGTGACATTAAAGGCACAAGAATTCTGATATGACTGAAATCTGACCTCTATCTGGTTTGGACCACATATGAAAGAGGCCTGAATCAGAATTGAACGGATAACATTCAGTGTGATTTGTGCTGTTCACACACATCAGTTTTTGACCACTTTGGCCTGCAGTCTGAACGTAGATGTACTTTAGACTTTTAGACTTTAACTAGAAAGTATACAAAAATAAAAAGGCATACCTTATTGTTCTACAATGTGAGCTATGTCCTATTATATACGCTATAGCGTATATCAGACAGGATGAGTAATACTTTTGCTGTTTGTGAATGTGCAATAGACACAAGATCTAACAAGAGTATTTGCACTATTAAAGGCTACAAATCAATCAGTGTGCTCCAATCCTTTGTTCCTCTTCAGTTTTCCCCAACAAGTGTAACAATCGGTGCACTCAAACCATGAATTTGGAAAGAAATTTACATTTCTACACTAAATGTTTTATCAAATATTTTAAATAAATGTTTCTGCAAATTCACAAAATGTTTATATTGTATTTTAATAAGTGCTCATAGTAACTACAGCATAATTAACATTGAATGGTTATATTTAAGTAACTGACTGTCTTGATTAAGGTGAGAGAACTGTGGTCTTGGTTTCATACTAAAAAAAGGAAATAGCAACTTGAAGCATGTGAAAGGATGCGTTTGCTTTCATAATATTAAACCAAAACCAAGATCTATGCCTAACCTAACTAATGTGTTTTTGTTAAACCACATATTGGACAGTCATGAACTTTGTATGCCAACTATCCAGCCACCACCTCTCTATGACTTGTGTGCAGTAAAAGAACGTTGTACTTTCTTGAAAGATTTTTGCCCATGAAAGTAATCCACGTATCAATTTTGCTCAACAAATTAGTAAAACGTGAATAAAAATTCTCGGCTTTAACATTGAGTTAAACAGTTTGTAGTTATGGATCATTTTCTAAATTGATACATAAACAAACTTGATCAAGAATCCTTCAAAATGCTACTACTGCTTGCTGTAATACATGTTCATAGTCCGCCTCGTACATATATATTAGTATTTAGTATGAATACTATTATAATAGTATTCAGAGACCGAGAATGAATTATGGCTTGTATGGCTCTTCATTCACTGCCTACACACATCACCTACACATATTTTTAATACTGCCTGAGGTATTCATTCCAGAAGGCATCAGACATGTCACTGAAATCAATTGAATTGAAATCAGTTTTCATCAGTCAATGTTCATATTTCAAGGTTGCTTGAACAGTTAGTAGAGCGTATGGGAATTCTGATTCGTGCAGTTCCTCAAACATTTGTTGTGGGCAAAGGTTTGAGGAGGCCGAGGGGAGGAAAGAAGGCAAAAGGGAAAGGAGGAGAAAGGGATGCATTCATCAGCATCATGCAGTCATTGCAAACACCCCCCACCATCCGTTTACCCCCAGCCCACTGAAACCACCCCTTCTCACCCTTGGAAAAATAAATCATGTAACCTGGAGGGTAGGAAAGGGTTAGTTGAAGTAAAAGAAAATAGGTTTTGAGTTTGATCGTGTCAGGTACAGTGTACCCTAACTCTAACCTTAACCCCAACCCCTAAAAGCCCAACTATGGTGTGGGTGAATCCTAACCCTGACCTTACCCTAAACCCCTAACACACCAGGGCACAAAACTTTATTTTTCTCAGAATAAAAACAACAGCAAGAATGGCCAGCACACACCCTTTTTCCCAGGAAATCCCCACAAGGGATACCTTGGGAAAAAGGACTTCTCTTTCTAACCTAAACCCCTTACCCTTAACCTGGGTCTTATAGCACTAACTTAACTTGTATTTGTCACACAGCCCTAAATCACACATTTCATTGCTCTCATTGGTTGGAGATCTATCCGATTTGCATTTGCAAATTAGTCTGGAAAGCTGTTGTGAAAACCGTTAAAACAATCTGCAGCTTAAATCAATTTACTTGGTGTCAAAGTTATAAATAATTCTGCATCTATGCCCCTGTTTTGTTCTTATCTGCAACAACAAAGCAGTTTGAATTTGCTATCACTTTGATTCACCCCTTTAAATGCTTCTTTACCATCATAACAGCAGCCTAACTCACTGTAGTATTTAGAACCTATGCAACCAATATAAACCTATATGATCTTTACATTTTCAGAGAGAGTCCTGAGTGTATTTGTTAAGCAACACAGAGGATATCATTAATAGAAAAATTGGAAATGGGAATTCAGACCACGGAATCACACTTCCAAAACCAGCAGCTCCTCCCACTTTACGATTCTATTATTTCATATGCAATGTTATTATAACTGATCAATCACAACGGTCAAGGTCATGGATATAGTTGTAATAAAGTGCTACTAGAGTTGTCCTTTAAAGAGTCATGACTGAAAGACTGTTCCTCATAAATTGTATCTCTGGAAGATTTGAAGTGCTTTTTGATCACACAGATGGTACCATATGGATGAAGGGTGCTCAGTGTGCTTTAACACCTGCTGATGCGTCATTGCTTTTTTCTTTTACAAATCACTAAATCTGTAAAGCGTTACGACAGCCTCTAATTACTACCTTGTGTGGCGCTCAGGCCTGCAGATAGGGTTACAACGGCCCCACATATGCAAACACAGTCAAACTTACATGGCGATGAACACAAATATACCCAGAAGGCATTTCACTAATGGCAATGTGCAGGATGTGGCCAAGTTCACTGACAAGCCACATTACTGAGGCTGTCATATCAGCATATTGCACTGTACATTCACCTTGAAAATGTTTGCTGGGTACACAAACATGAATGAAAATACATGAGTGTTTTTTTCGCATGTGTGTACGACGTTGTTTCATATCAAATTGATCAGGATTTATGCTCCGCCCTTGCTGCTGGTGTGTAATAGCTGTAATTGGATTCTGTCTAATACAGCGAGCCATAAAGAAGATAGAATTACTGGCCTGCTAAACCAGGCAAGGGGTTCTGCTACCGTTACTGACAAATACAAACACTACGCTTGCTGCCAGAAATGTTGCATACAAACAAGGTTTTAACTGCTTTATCTCAAAGAGGAATATCCCACATTGTCCAACAAGTTGCTCCACACATTGTTGGGATTTTCTTTCAGATGAGGATTACAATAATAATACAACAATAATAAGGAAATAAGAAAAGTAGAAAGTTTTTTCAGTCAGTGAACTACAGAGTTCCACCATGAGTCTGACCGAACTGAGTAAGGTGACTCATTCCACTACTGATTGACCATACAGAAATGAGTCTGGATTGAGACGCAGTGATGGTTAGGGTCGCTGGAGGTACCCCTCTAGTGTGTCCAGAGTGATCCGTAGTCAAGTTAGCAACAATTAATGCTGTAAAACTTAATTTAAAAGCAGTGTCCACATTAGAGGCAGGTCCTCTTTACTAGTCTGGTGTGGCTACTTTTTTTGACAAATGAATGCCGGTCTCAATTAAGCGCTTGTTCTGGATTTTTACTACTTTGCTGAGCAAGAGTTTTGTGCAGAAGGAATTAAAGGCCTGCCCGATATAGAGGCCTGTTCCAAATGAAGGCTTTTCAAAGGAGTTCTGGGATTAAAGCAAATAAATCACTGAAGGCACAGAAACTACTTGGTTAGGTTTAGGAAAAGATCATGATTTGTTTAAAATAATTCTGTAATCTAACCTACTAACTAATGTAAGTTATGTTATGTAACTTAAGTAAATTAGGTAAAGTCACCGTTGACTTTTGGTTTCACACTGGACGTGGTCAGTCAACAGTGGTCTCCAGGGCTAAAGTCCTGTGTTTGTTTGACCCATCCATCCACCCAAACTTCACATGTACTGGTTCCAAACTGTCATGCAAGAAGAAATGCTACAGGGTTAGAATTTCCTGGTGGTGCTATAGGAGAGGTAGAAATGATAGCACAGCCAATCGGGCCTGTATGTGCCATTACTGCTCAACAAAATGTTATGAGACTTGCAATAAACCCATGTGTCCAGACTCTTTACATAAACTACAAAAGCTTTACAAGAATGTATAAAGACAAGAATGTATTGCTTTCCTGGGCGTGTGTGTGTGTGCGCGCGCATGTTTTAGACTCCCTGCACTACCCAAAATAATTACCTTGAGAAATGGAATCACATGAATATACACACAATGTGGCAAACGGTGCTCTCCCCAGTGCCTCTGCTCTGCAGCTTGCTTATTTGTTTTGGTTGCATTTGTTTTGCCTTTGTGTTTCTGCAGTGAGCCGCGACAGCTGCCTGGCAACAGCCAATCAGAGCGCGGAGAGAGGGCAGTTGGCGAATGCAAAATCCTAGCTTATTATTGCCGAGTATAAACCAAACCTCAGACACACCTGGTTCATTTGATTGGCAAATCAGAGCTCTGGGAGCAAACCACAGGGAGGAAAAGCGGCATTAGAGCTGCGAGCAAGACCACTGTGGGCGTAATATTTACGTCCAAACTCCAATAACGCTCCACCAATTTGACCTCATTTAAATGCACTGAAATAGTCCATCTCAGTAAGTTACTGTGTTCACCTTAAATAAACTGATTTATGACGCAGTTACAATAGTGTTTCAGTACATCTCTACTCTCTCAATCAAAATTAAAACCGACTCCTTTATTAGTAGAAGGTGGCATCCTTCATGGAGGTACATAATAAAAACTGTTGAAGCATTAATGCATGGGAGGTGATGTCTGATTTTAGACTGGTGTGCAAAATATTTCCCAGATTAACTGTTGTATTTAACATCATTATGTCAAGTAAATTTACTTACTTTTTTACTCGTCAGGTCATTTAATGTAACTTTATTGCATGAATTTCTAATGTATTTCCATTGCAGGATTGCTGAAATAGGGATTTTACAAAGTTCTTGCATATACTGCTGGATTTATTTTTCTGCAATAAATAAGATGTTGTTTTAAATATAGCTTCCTGTGTTTCACATAGCAGTATTGGGATTCATTTGGACAAATATCGATTTATTTAATACAAGCACAACAAATAATAATTTGCTTAATATTTTATGTTTTGTTGAATATTTGGCTTTTTTAGTGAGACTATATAGAAAAGCTGAACTGAAATAATGTCCTTTAACATAAAATACTGATAAATTGATGTCTCAACTCAACAGCCCATAGTAGATGTTCTCCAGACATATGTCCCTTTTTAACAACGCCCATATACAGTATGCACTGCTGTTAATATCAGCAGAGTAGGTGGGGGACTGCCATTGTGGGGGCAAGTGGAGTGCCGGCTCAGTGGAAGTGTGAAGTGGATTTCTTATTGAAACATGACCCTGAGAGAGGTTAACTAGCAGCTCCATGTGAAGTGGGAAAGTAAGGGAGTAATATGACCAGTGAGAGAGTGGAGTTATATCAGAGTAGATGTGGAGAAGAAAAAATCAAACAGGAAAAAAATGAATGGAGGAACAAATAGAGGACAGGTCAGACATGTTGGAGGACAAAAAGAAAGATAAGAATCTGTATGTCTTTGGTCTTTATGGTGAGTCTACTTACCTTGAGGTCGCGGTGGACCACGCCCATCTGGTGGCAGTGGAGCACAGCCTCTAGGATCTGCTGAATGCAATGACTGCATGCAAACACCAGGGGGCCATGGGTTAGTGACAAGCTACCACTCACTGTCTGTGGCTGTGAGCTCGCTTTGACACTCGGGGAGCCACTGGCCGTGTTAGTGGGGAGACTGTACAGCAGTGTGACCCACCCAGCAGCCATAATGAGGGGGCACTTTGGATAAATGCACTATTTACTATGTTTTTTGTCTGTTGCTACGGTCACCAAATGATGTGTGCTATGACAGACCCAGAAAAGAAAAACAGAGCTGTAATTTTCATCATGTACTACTCACACAACATGGCCAGTTTTCTGCCCGAGTCTCAAAACAGAAGTGGTGTTAGCTCCTGGCCAACTGGAGGCCGGACCCTGAGAGACTGAGGAGGGAGACGTAGGAGCTGACGGAGGGTGTGCTTTGGATCTGTTACTGGTTGTCAGTAATAAGCCAACAGTGCTGTTTTTCATTTCTTTTGTGAAAACAACCAGCTCTAAAGAAATAAACTCTTCTAAAGAAATCAAATTACATATCTGTGTTTTTATAATAAACTATAGTAAACTTTGTGCTCATGTCAAAGCCAAGACTGTGGTACAACTTTACAGTCATAATTTGGAATACAAATGAATTCTCTTACATCTCTACAGATGGTATCTAAAGCCACCAGCATTCTTCGTCCTCCTGCTCCTCTTCCTCCTCCTCTCTCAGCTGTCAGCCTCTCAGTGGCTGTGTCAGAGCATGGATTTGGACAGATGCTACATGCACTTTGTGCCCTGGCATACAGGAGGGGTGGGCCACGATGAAATCTACACCCCCTGCAATACTGCCTCCTCTCCAGCCAACCTGCCCACAATGCCCTGCGGCGGCGGGGGGTGACTGGTGGAGGAGGGGGGGGTGTGGTTTTTGGGAGGAGGCGGCACTCAGTGAGTAGGTTAATTGGTCGATTGATCAGGCAGTGGAGGAGCGAGGCAGGGCGCCACAGGTGGGCAGGCCTGTGTCTTTTTGCTGTTACTGTCGTCACTTACTAACCTTTAGGTCCCTGTGCACTATGCCATTTACGTGGCAATGATTTACACTTTCTAGAATCTGCTGTATGCAGTGACTGTGGAGGAGAGAGAGACCAGGCCAGAAGCAAAAAGGAGAGGAAGAGGGAGAACAGGTAAATGTCAGGAAACAAAGGAACAAGAACAAGGCAGACAGAACACACCAAACACGTGAAATAACAACACGTGAAATAACAACACTTGATTGACAAAGGAAACGTTTTAAAGGAATAGTTCAACATTCTGGGAAATACAGTAATTTGCTTTCTATTCAAGAGTGAAATGACAAGTGATATCTAGCCTAGCTTAGCATAAGGACTGGAAGCAGGGGGGGAACAGCTCGCCTGGCTGTGTTCAAAAAACAACACCTCTAAAGTTAACATATTTACAGAGTGTATCCCGTTTTTAAAATCTCAACAAAAGATTTTAAAAATGACAGTTTGTGATTTAAGGACAATTTAGGTGCTTTATAAACAACAGTGTATCCATTTTTTTTTTACTTTGGACAGAGCCAGGCTAGCTATTTCCTCCTGTTACCAGTCTTTATGCTAAGCTGGGCTAACTGTGTCATTATTTAACACACAGACATGTCTATTGATCTTTACATGTCACTCTTGAAAGGAAAACACATTGTTGAATTGTTCCTTTAAGCCATTTGACAAATAGAGAAAAATACAAAGACACATGCATGTTCTTTTTTTCTATCCATAACGTTTTTTCACCTTTAAAATCATTTTTACACATCAATAAAATCCACCACAAAACAGAATCCACATCCTTAACATCTAAAGCCGTCTTTGTACGCATTGTATCTCTCGTATAGCTCACATAAAAAGAATTACGACTCTTGATGACATAACCTGTTGAGCTGCTCCGTCAAACTTCAAATCCATGGATGGAAAAGCAGAAAATCTTCAAAATTATTAAGAAATAAACCTTAATTAAACCTTTAATGGAAGTGCTCTAGGATAAAGCTGCTTTCCTACCCATCAGTCAGGGTTCTTTTTGGAGTGGATTTTTAATAGGCAGGTCAGAAGGTAAAATTGGGAAAATTAGATCCGTAATCAAAAGGACAAAGGTAGAACAAGAAATGTAGAAGAGAGAGGTCTCGGCATAAAAGGCACATCAAAGGCAGCACAACAGGAAACACTTCTGCACTGCTCTACCCACTGCATAATGAGGCAGGCTTGTATTTCTGTGTGTGTATGTTGCAGACAATAACATTCAAATACACACTGATTGATAGGTAATTTCAACCTGGTCTCACTCCCAAGTCATCAAATACTGCTGCTTGGTCAGTGGTCCTCTGCTTATGACTCTGTAGTTAACCCTCTAGCATCATTTCTGGATGCGCCAACATCAACGTCAGGTGACGTAGTGGAAAGAACCAGAAAGTCTACATAAGGAGGTGGTGGGGTGGATGAACAAAACAAACACAGGACTTCAACCCAGGAGACCGCTGTTTATGTCCCATGTCAAACCATGTGTTCACATGGGCCACATATGTACATTAACTTACAAAACATACTTAAGTTACGTCAGGTACGCAGCATTTACCAAGTAAATTAAATCTAAAATAGTAAATCTAACTAAATTCGGCTGTTTCACAATGTTAACCACACAAGATTTATTTTGAAATTCAAACCGGATGTATAGATATTATTGTTAACCTGAACAGATAATAATACTTTGTTCCATTACTTGAGTATTTTTTGGGAGTATCTGTATTTTACTTGCATTTTTATATTTCTGTCAACATTCACTTTTACTCTACATATCTAAAATAAAATGTATACTTTTACTCTGATACATTTACCATAAGCAATGGGTCCTAGCTTGTAAGTAAGTTAGATCATTGGTTATTAACCTTACTGGGCATTACTGAGTGCCAACAAGCACGCTCAAATCTGTGGTTGAATTTTGATTTCCACAACATGAGCACAATTCCACTCAACGATGAGAGAGAGTAAGGTATGGTAAAGAAAATCCATGGACCTCCACTGATATTAAGCTGGATAGTTTATTTTTAAGTACATTTAATATATCAGAAAATTACTTGAATATATTATTACTGTATTACTGTATGTACTGTACTGTACTGTATTATATATTAGTATTACTGATACTTATAAATTCAAATTAACTTTTTGATGTATTTGTTTTTATTACATTGAGAGAATCTCAATACCACATGAGACAGACAATCTGTGAAAAAATCTGATTCCTCAGGCTCACTCTAGTGCTCCTAATCGCATTCAAAAGAATCCACAGCCTAGACAAAAACAACCAATCATTATTTTTTTTTAAATGACTTGCAGATTTAAGTACAGTAAATATTACATTACAGCATCATATTTTGAGGCAGGGTCCACTAACCAAATGGCAGCATGTGACGAGTTAGGAGTGAGAACATTCTGACAATTTCATGACTTGCATGAATATCATTTTGTCAATGTGTTCTATGCTGTGCATCTGCTTGAATATGCCTTTTTTTTGCCAATGTCGACTAAATGGTCTTCACATCACATTTATTAAGTAAATTCAGAAATATCAGTACAGAGAGCATTACACTGACCTGGCATCGGCCTCGCTGTAGTACTCCCTGGCAACAATGTCCTCAAACAACTCACCACCGGTCACTCTGGAGGAGAAAGAAATGAAGTACACACAAAAACAGGATGAAAAAGTTGGAAAGAAAAATACATCACAGATGTTCTTCTCTGCGTCTGGAGAGGAAAAAAAGACTTGATAATGTTGCACAGTAACAAATCTCATCCGGAAAAGATGTTTGTTTGTTTTTTTCAGGCCAAGTGGGTCAAAAGAATGATGTGCTTTTGTGCCTAAATGGTGAAATCACTACAATAACATATTTCAGCAGATATAGTCATACGGTACATGGACATTGTTTATTCAGCTGCAAGAAGTTTCGATGTCTTTCCATGAGGTTATGAATAAAAGCCAGAGTGCTTTTTCAAGCGAGCAACGCCAACTGGAATATCTATAATAGAATGGGGTTGCAGTAATACTAAAGCATTATACATTGTGCTGTGATTTAGCCTTTGGAAGTTCATGTACAGGAGAGATCAATCCATAAGTGAAGTGGTTTTAGCCCAGGAGGAAACTGCTCTCTCCTTTATTGCTTTTTATTAGGTGCAAAGACTTATGTTTGTATTATTAAGGTTGAACAGTCCAGTTTATACATGAGGATCAGTCTACTACCCATGGTTAGTAATACTGAGCCTGTGAAAACAGTTGTATAATGTCTTCTGTGGCTGTGAAGTGGGAGAACATAACCCCGGTATTTTGCCTCGGGCTTGGAGACTAAAGATTCATAACAGAAAGCCTGCATTACAAACTTTGGCAGTGGAAAGACGTTTACCAGACAGGGAGGGTCTAACAAAGACATGCTATAGAGTTGCATTATGGGAGGATTATCCCTACTAGGGATTCAAAGTCAGGACAACTCACCTGCTGTTGCTCTGTTCTTATTTTGACCACATCTGTAAATGTTTGTCTTGAAAACCTTGTGGAAGTGCAATTCTAAAATTGGTGGAGTGCCCCAAGTGCAGCAATCTGAGTAAGCTGTAAGATTATTACAATACAAGCCACCCGCCGCAGGGCATACAAATACAAATAAAACTAGACTTAGCTTTAGTCTTGTCAACAAAACAAGCATGAGGAGGCATTGGTGCGTATGTTTGAGACTGGGTTATCTCCATGACTGTCAGTCATTCTTAACTTCTTCTATCTTGCCCTTGACAAACAACGCTCATATTATAATAAAATCTAAAAATACTGAAACTAATAAAAATTAAACCAAATCTAAAACATTTTAAATAATAACAAAACTAAAACTTAAACTAAACTCTGTTAACTTAAATTAATTGAAGGACAACTACAACAATAAACAGGAATTGCTAATCTACTTAGAGCTAAACAAAATAAACTTTTTTTGATCCCCCCAGTCCACACTGATGGAATCAGGGTGCAGGTAAGTACAGTGAAAATACATGAAATCACATCATGTCAGGGCCATGCCATGTCTAAAGCTTTCCTGCCTTACTGGTGTGGAAGGCTGTAGCTGTATAGTCTGCTTTGTTGTGGTGATACTGTGCTGCAGGAAGTCTTGAGTGTGTGTTTGCTGGACTCCTTCCAAATATCTGTCCACTGGGTCTGTGGGGTCACAGGCAATGTGAAACTGGGCCATTAAAGACTAAGTAGACTTTGTTTCACACTTTAAAACGTACTAGTAAAGGTCCAGTGTGTAACATTTAGGAGGATCTATTGTCAGAAATGGAATATAATGTCCATAGGTATGTTTTCATTAGTGTATAATAACCTGAATATAAGAATTGTTATGTTTTTGTAACCTCTATGACAGAGCCCACCACGTTGAACTGACATGTTTCTACAGTAGCCCAGAAGGGAGGAAACCAAACACTGGCCCAGAGCCATAGCGGTTTTAGCACATTTTGCAGCCACTGTAGTTTCATGCTTCAGAGGGGACGGTGAAGTGAGGGAACAACAATCCCAAACTACACTGCTAGGTGCAACTAATTCCTACACACTGGTCCGTTAAAGGGTAATGCTTTATATATGCTATATAATATTGTACTTCCACAAAGCTGGGGACCTCGAAAGAAAACAATAGAAAAGAGAAAACCATAAACATTAAGAGATATCATGGCTTTTTAATCCTTGTACGGGTCTATAAACACTAAATTGTTCCAAAATGAAACTCAAACCCAGCTTTCATTAGACATACGGCTGTTTTCACAGGCTCAGTAGTACCATACATGTAAAGTAAACTGATCTTCGTCATGGAGCTGCCTTTTAAAATGTATAAAAGTGGGCCAGTGGGTCAAATTGCACAAGACATGAAAAATGACTTCAATGATATTTTGAGGCAAAACCTTTTCCATGACTTGTGGAAAACATTACCACTTTGAGTTTTCGGGGGTTTCCACATGAAAGTTTCATGCAACCTTTAATAACGAATTCAGTTGTTGAGTCCCAGTGTTGTTGTTGGCCTCCATTCAGCAGGAAGTGACCCAA